ATGGAAGTTGGATGAAAAGATCTTATAGAACAGGACGTTATGATTCTTTAGGTTTGTTCTTTCCAGCTGAACTTCTTGCACTAGTTCAAGAAGTGTGCACTGATGCGTTCTTTCTAGCGGCAGTGACGTCAGAGGTTGCTGTTCTTTCCAACAGTGCAGCAGAACTTAGTTCAAAAGTTCACTGAACTGCTTGCACTGGGTCTAGAGCTAGTACAAGCAGTTCAGTTCAGTGCAAGGGCAAAAGTATTGTACTAGTGCAGATAGTGCACCTAAAAAGAACAGATCAAAATGGAAGACAGAGATATTGTAGAAATTAAAAGGGATCAAAGTGGCAATATTTTAATTGATAACAATGGGAATATCATGTGTGAATCGAAAGGTAATTAAAATTATGTATCTAAATCTGTACATATGTGTTTATATAAATATAAGCTATTGATATAAACAAAAGGTTAATCTATTATATATTTGATGAAAGGATACAGATTTGTTAATGCAATATATACTTTTACAGAAGGTACATTATTCCATTTACAATATAAGGATATTGATTTTACCTGTGATACAGTACAATGCACTGTAGACAATAAAATAATATTTATTAAGTTACATTTGGAAGAACCAAGTAACTCATGTAACGAGAACAATAATATTGATGCCAATTATGGTCAACAAGACAATTATTGCCAAAATGAAAATGATGCGAATTATGGCAATGCAACTAAAGCAGACCAAGATAAAAGAGAGGCCATGTTATGGGATGATGCCAAAACAAAATTGTTCCTGCAATTATACAAAGAAAATTATAATCTCCTTGTTAACAGAAAAATTAAAACAAAAAAAGTTGTATGGAAAAAAATGACAGAAAATATGCAAACACATGGATATAATGTCACACTTGTACAGGTAGAAAACAAATTTAAATCTTTAGAAAGATGTTACAAAAATATGGTAACAAATAATAAGAAAACAGGCAGAGCTCGCATGTCATGTCCATATGAAAGGTAAATATGAGTTTTATTTTAAGATATATATTTAATAAAATCTATGAATTAAGATACAAAGTACAATGTGTTGAATATATATATATATATATATATATATATATATATATATATATAT